TTTGCTGCCTACGATTGATAGTCTGCTTTGAACTGAAGCATGATCAACCCAGATTGCTGGAGCAATTGCAAGTATGGTTGAAATAACTTTGTCTTCTGTGAGATTGTTTCAGTCTGTCACCTTTCCCAAAGTTTGATTTGATTTTGATGACTTGGGAGCTTTAGTTTATATCATGTGTAGAAGATGCTAGACTGGAGAAAGGCGCACTATGCATAAATTTTCTTATTACTCCTATTACAGGAACTGAATTCTATACACCAAGTTAATATGTCTTATTCTTAGTAAGATGTCACCTTAATTCTAAACTCATTCAAGAAAGGTTATTACTTTGAAAATGGGCTCTATTTTAAGTAGCATAATTTCATTGGCTCATTCTAATATGACCTAACTTGCCTTTATTGAGTGATGATTGGTACTAATACCAGAGACTTATATACATGCATGCTAAAGTGCAAATCTGTACAGTTGTCCTAATAGCAAATATGAACGCAAATCCTTAGTCTAGACAAGGCTTTAGTATATGTGCATTTGGTTATGTGCCAAGGAGAAATGGACAGATATCAACTAAATTACTTGATGGATTCAAATGATAATACACTAACCATTTCTACCAATAATGGGGTTCAGAATATAAGTTGTAGGATAACTGTAATACTTTAATCAGGAGTTTTTATTGCTTTGGGAATGTTTGTGATGTATATAACAGCATGACATTAATTGTTCATCTTTCTATAAACTGTAAAAACATTAGATTGACATACATGAATTTTAAAAATAGCATTACTCCAAGCTCTCTGATTTTTACTCAATTTTGTAGTTATCTTGATTGATAAAGCTATTTTAAGTGGATTTGTTCATTAAATATCATGTCCTATTAATGATAAAATAAGTAAAATGACAATTTATTTCATCTTGATATACATATGAAACAAAATGGAAATTTTTCAAGTTAAAATAGTTTATTTATTTATTTATTTGATTTGCCAATTGTTTACAAGATAATAAGTATAAGTGTATACATAGTTGTGAGTACATGAAATGGGTACATATAAGAAAAATAAAAGAATAAGAGAAACAATAGGACAGGGACGGTAGGCACGATGGTGCGCTTATGCACGCCCCCTACAGACCTCTTAGGAAAGGGGTGAGGTCAATAGTAGACAGTCTAAGGTTAAAGTTTTTGGGGTTTGGGGAAGAGACTATAGAGTCGGGTAGAGTATTCCAGACATTGACCACTCTATTGCTGAAGTCGTATTTCCTGCAATCAAGTTTGGTGCGGTTTACTTTGAGTTTGTATCTATTGTGTGCTCTTGTGTTGTTATGGTTGAAGCTGAAGTATTCATTGACAGGTAGGACATTGCAATGTATGATTTTATATACCATGCTTAAGTCAGACCGAAGACGGCGTAATTCAAGGTTTTCTAGTTTTAGAATTTCAAGTCTGGTGGCATAAGGTATTCTACAACGAGTAGAAGAGTGGAGAACTCTTCTTGTGAAATATTTCTGGACTTTCTCAATTGTGCTAATATCAGATACGTAATGAGGGTTCCAGACTGATGAACTGTATTCGAGTATTGGTCTAGCAAATGTTTTGTATGCTCTGGTTAGTAGTGTGATATTACCAGAGAAAAAACTACGTAGGATTAGGTTAACAACTCTTAATGCCTTTTTGGCTATGTAGTTGCAGTGGGCTCTAGCACTTAGATCATTAGAGGTGAGTATTCCAAGGTCCTTTACAGAGCTTGGGTCATCAACAAGATCTTGACTATTCAGCTTGTATTTTATTTTCTGATTTTTTTTGCCAATATGTAAGACAGAGCATTTATTTGTTGAGATTTGAAGTTGCCATTTGTTTGACCATTCAGATACATAGTCAAGATCTTTTTGTAGGGTAGCAGTATTGTCTGTGGTATTGAACAGCTTTACATCATCAGCGAAGAGAACGCAATTGCTCTTAATATGATCACAGAGGTCGTTTATATAGAGTATGAAGAGAGTTGGTCCTAGTTAATTTTAAAGCAAGCCACTTCTCTTTTTTCCAATATATTTTGCTTCCTTTTGATTTTTATCTGTAAGCAATCCAGAGTTTTTCTGGGGATAGATGGTCTCAAAATTAAAATAATCAATAAAGTACAGCAAACAACTGTAAATCTGATAAAGTTGTGTTTGACTTTAGGGGGTGGTTGATACACTTATGGGGAAAATACGGTATACGGATCTTTGAATTTTATAGGGAGATAAATTGAATGCTACACTGCTTATATACGCAGCCATTCTTTTCACATTCATTCCTTGCAACAAACCATGTACTACGTACTATCTTTCCACCAATTCCCTCACTTTAATTTCATTGTACTAAAAACAACTCCTTTCATTATGATGCATTTATTTATTTATTTATTTAAGTTTGTCAAGCATTTATGAGAAAATGTAAGTATGACCATAACATATAAACATATAAGTATGAACGGGTATAAGTATATACATAATAAATGAGTACAAATAAATGGGAACAGTAGGACAGGGACGGTAGGCATGCTGGTGCGCTTACGTACTCCCCCTTACAGACCTCTTAGGAATCGAGTGAGGTCCACGGTAGACAGTTTAAGGTTAAAGTTTTGGTGGTTTGAGGAAGTACTTACAGGCAACATTTGTATGCTAAATTGTAATTGAGAAAGAAGTAGGGCCGAAGTGGAAAAAATATAATTAAAAAAGTATATATAGCTCAATAACTGTTCATATTTATTTTTTGCAAGTTGAGGAAAATAAGACAAAATTAATGATAAAAATATGATAATGCTACTTGTTCAGACCAAAATTAGTCCAACATTCTACTTTTTAAAGGGGTCAGCTACAAGTACACAAGAGAACAAATGTATGGTATTATGTTTTTTGATGTGGATGGATATCTCCTCATATTGCATTAGTAAATTCAGGGGTTCAGCTTTTCCCGCTGTAATGCCTCCAAATGTGTCAGAAAAACAAATCCCCAAAATGCTATTATACTTTAACAATACAGTAAACAATGTATTTCTTTTTGTCTGTACTGAGTATTCTGTCAAGCAGCTTCATTGTAGAATCATGAAGTTGTTGTAGTAGTAGTACAGTGGCTTATACAGAAAAGATTTGTCCTTCACTTCTCCCCTTCCAGCAATAATATGTGAAAACAAGGCGCCAAAATTACCATCTTCTCCCTTGTGAATGTAAACTTTTTTCTCAGGATGTTCCATAACTTTGTATCCATTTCAAATATTTTCATTTGTGGCATCCTTTTTCCCACAGTCTCCAAAATTGTTACAATTAAAACAGTCAATAGAATGGCATGAGTATAACAAACAGTAATTACATATTAAATAAAAGGCTATTATTCCTTCCCAACTCCCATTTAGACTTATTTAAGTCTGGCAACCCACAGGGCGGTTACAAATCTAAACTAAGTCTTCGTCTCTTTTGCTCTTTCTGTACCTCATATTTTGAGGTTTTATCTGATATTTCATCATGCTATTTGTCAAATTCTCTTAGCTCTTGTTATGGATTGTTCTCAAGCATGTAACGGTGACCCATCATAGGCCGGGTTAATATTTCTGATGGCATCCTTTGGTTTAGGTTGGGGTTTTCAAACTTTACAGAACTGTGATCTTGAAAATGAAACACGGATTTGTGTGACATTCATCACCTCCAAGAATAAAATTAATTATTTCCTTGGGGTTAAAGTTGGATGAAAAAGGGAAAATCCACTTTTCAATAGTTAAATTTTAATCTAAATTTAATCCCTCAAATTCAGATCATGTCATCACTACCCCATAACAAAAGCCAAACCCAACATGAGGCCCACACTTTATGTTAGCTCCTTGGTGACTTGGTTGAGGTCCTTGGTGACAATGATGTTCACAAAGCTGTATGCCTCCCAGTACTGTAAGTTTGGGAAATTCCACTGCCAGCCCAACCATGGCATTGAGCAGCTCAGGCAAGGAAGTTGCTACATAACAGGAAAGGTCAGTATAGTAGCTGCAATCCCATCTACTACCTAGAGCTGAACTTTACATAGGTCTTTACATAAGTTATGAATTTTACATAGGTTATCTGAGAAGTAGCATCTCTAGAAGCCTTGAACATTTTACGGCCATTTACTATGCAACAATAGCACCTCTATTGGTTCCATAATTTTTGTGGATAAGATGTACATAGGAAAGATTCTCTCTGCTCTACTACAATCAGACTACTAATATCTACTGTCAGGGAATTTGCACAGCAGGAATCCAAATGAAGTCAGAGACAAGATAGGCAAACAAGAGCATCATGAGGTACAATCACAGAGCACACAGGGCACACAGAAGAAAAAGACAGGAAAAAGGAAACTCCCCCTCCACGCCCATATCAACCAATCACAGCGCAGATTGCCTCACACAGGAGCCAGCAATCTCCAATCAATCAAATATAACGGTATGTACTGGCTCACTGCACAACCTCAATGCTCCAGGAACTAAATTTAAATAATATCTATTAAACAACATAATAGAGAAGAAATGCTTCATACAGTCTTAGCTGTTTTTTATTCTGGGCAAAGTACGAAATTATGCCAGCCAGCAGGGATGGTTGAGCTTTAAACCTTCCACTAAAATTCAGCTATCTATGCCTAGTAGCATACATGTACACTATATGTAAAGATCCCAAAGCACAAAAGGATCAACCTGGCTTCAGATTGTGATTTGTAAATAGGAGATGCTGTAACTTGAGTGTGAACCTGCTCCATGGTAGGCCTCCTAGAAGAATCACTGCAAGCTGTTTTGACAAAGTAAATTATTCCAGCTCTATAATTTTATGCAGACTGTTTGTTTACATTCAGTGGATGCTGAGGGAATATAAATAGAGCTACAAAACTCCTATAAATTTATGTAGATGTTAAGAAATTATAGCATGAAAACATTTCTGAATATACAGTAGATTCTCCAGGTTTGTTTTTTTTCCAAAGGTAAATATGTGCTATTTTGTTTTTGTAGGTGCTAACATCATGTCGGGCCTTTCTGTTAACTTCCCGTATTCCTACCAAGGTAAGGCTGAATTTCATACTTTTCTCCCTATAATGTAGCAGAGTTCACTTACTTTTAAGATAATACACTGGTCATAATCTTGGAATATAATAAGGTGGTTGAGAATAGTTCATAGAATACATCTAAGGGAAATGCTGTGCATTGTTTCCTCTTTTTTCTAAGTTGCTTAAAGTGTTACAATTGGAACAAATTTATGCAATCTTCCTGGGGAAGGGGAACAGTTTACAGTTCTTCCTGTTGAATATGAAATTTTGTGAAGGTATCTATGTGCCTCAAAGATAATTCAACTTCACAATGCTTTTAAGCTCTAAATTGTTGATAATATGAAGCAAGAATGATGCATGGTGATTCTTCCAAACTGAGTTCTCTATTGTTTAGAACTTAGAAACAAAATATTTCCAGACTCTGCTATTGTCAACTATAAAACGTGTATACAAAATGTCCTTTTTAGTTTTGGGAGTGCGGCTTGAGGCTCATGATTTAATTGGAGTAAGTGCCGGAATCCTGACAGCTATCTGCATCTACAATATACCCTGTGAACTATTAGGGAGGATCTGTCTTCATCCTCTTTCTCTCACACATAAGATTGAGATTGTGTTGCTTGAGACTAAGTTTCCACTTAACTCTTCCATCCCTCCTGGGAATCCACCTCCTTACTACATTCCATTATATTATAGAAACTAATAAAGGAACATTCAGATTACTGCTTCGCAACTATATAAAATCCAAACCAGTAGAAACCAGTTTTTATTATAGTAGCTTTCTGGGACAATTAACAAATAGTATAAAATTTTATGTAAAGACTATTTCAAATCATATGGCTGGATTATCCCCTTGCTTTATTCTTAAGTAAAAAAATCCCTCTTGTTCATTTACTTATATCAATATTTTAAGAAGGTTCACTTATTAGCGTTATGTCTCTGCAGAATTCTTGAGATGTAAGTTATAATTGAGCTTCTCTTTATAATGGCCACCATGGTGGTATTCAGAGTTGACAGACGTCATTTAAGCAAAATTCTTTCAAATAATCTTCTGCGGTGGATTTTGGAGATGTATTGTATTATAGGACAAGAAGGAAACAGATTCTGAGATAAATTTGATTCTCTGGCTAGAGCATGTCAGTTCCTCTATCTTGCCAGGCTTTAGCAGGTCTGAATTAGGACACAATGCTGATTTCATTAGTATTATTTCCTGGTCCAATCTTACTGCCACTTTCTCTATGAGAGTTTGTCAATATCCTTCTAGCCTCATTCTGCTTCCCATAATGGGATAATGATAGCAATTCATTATAGAATTTGCCAGGGGTGTATTTTTCAGCAGTGGGAGTAAGGGAGGAAGTGGGGATGGACCTACAACATTATTGACTTTCATTTTTCTAGAATTGGTTCTATTTACAACTTGAAAATAAGTAGTATAAAGGGATGTTATGTAGTTTGCTATATACAAGTATTCCTCGACTTAGAGCTGACTGTAAGTGACTGTTTAAAGTTACAACTGGGACTTATGACCCGAATTTGAAGTTCAGATGGTCAGTCTCTCTTTGCGGTCACATAAATGAATTTTGGATGTTTGGCAACACAGCTGCATTTGCAGCATCCCAGGGTCACCTGACCGTGTTTTATGATGGTTTTTACAAAAATTGACGCTTCTAGTTTTCAGCCAAGCTGTGCTCATAGCAAACAATTGATTCACTTAATGACCATGGAGTTCACTTAAAGACTGGCACAAAAACCATCAGGTTGATCACATGACCAATGCACTCTGGCACTCTATGGATTCTGGCTAACATGATGCTGGCATAAGTCCCTGTTTTTGCTTTGGCAACAACTACTTCAGAAAGACTAACAAAATGAAATAGGAGTGATACTTGATTTCCCCTTTCTTAATTATATGCACCATATATAGAAACATTAGTCAGAATCAACTGTAGTGCAGTAACGTTACCAAAGCTTGAATTGTGGCAAACATGCCAAATTAAACATGCCACATCGAGAAATAAGAGGATATACTGAGTTTTTAAAATATATTTTGAAAGTTAAAATCTGTAAAGTAGTGAATCCTGGCGGGTGATGGGGAGAACTGACCTCCATAGAAAACCATGATTAACACAGAATAATAAACTTGCAACAAATTTCTATTCGGATACAGAAAAATTTCTCCTTGTAGCAGAGTTGAAGGTGTGAAAGTTTTAAACTAGTAGGTTGTCCATTTGAATGCATTCACTAAGGAGGATCTTATTATAGGTAGTCCTCGACTTACAACAGTTCTTTAGTGACCGTTTCAAGTTGCAACAGCACTGAAAAACGTGACTTATGATAGTTTTTCGCACTTACAATTGTTGCATCATCCTCATTCATGGTCACCTGATTAAAATTCAGTTGCTTGGCAACTGATTCATATTTATGACAGTTGCAGTGTCCTGGGATCATGTGATCACTTTTTGCAACCTTCTGACAAGCAAAGTCAATGGAAAAGGCAGATTCACTTAACAACCGGGTTACTAACTTAACAACTGCAGGGATTCACTTAACTGTGGCAAGAAAGGTCACAAAATGGAGCAAAATTCACTTAACAACTGTCTCCTTTATCAACAGAAATTTTGGGCTCAATTGTGGTCATAAGTTGACCACAAGTCATGTCTTCCTGTGTAATTGGTTTCAAAATCAAAAGTGCTGTTACTGTTAGAAGTAAAAATTCTGGTATTCTATTGGAATCTGCCTTCTTGTATCTTAAATTTATTTTTCCATGTCTATTCTGGAAATTTAAGCAACAAGTCTTGACCTTCCTTGTGTATTCTTTCAGTTATTGAAATAATAATGGAATAATGGTGTTATATCTCCTCAACTTCTCTTCTGAAGGTTAAACATTCCAAATTCTTTCAATCTCTCTTGAAATGACTTTGTTGTTTAGTCTCCAGTAATCCTTCTTTTCCTTATCTAGATCTGAACTATGCAAAATAAAGTAGAACTTTTACTCTTGTTTATTTCTGAAGTTTTAGCCTTTTTTTTTTTTGCTGCCACATAGCACTGCTGAATCATTTTCAGCTTGATTATAACCATTATTCCAAAATTGTTTTCACCTACCATTCATTACTAAGCCAGGATTTCCTAACCATAATCCCAGCTCTGAGCATTTTATTTCTGTTTCCTAAGCAAAGAATTTATTTCTGTTTTTTTCCCAGAGCTCTGTCTCTGATCAAGTTTTCAATTTTTTCTACTTTCTAGCCATTTAATTTTGTGCCATCTGCAAATCGAATCAACATTTCTTCTACTTAATTGGGCAATGAATAAAAATGTTGTACAAAACTGAGTCTTGTCGTGCCCCATTTGATACCTTCCATTTTGATGAGAGCACCAGTTGAGTATATTTTTCAGACCAGCCATTCATTTAATTGTAATCTCATGTTTGGCAGCTTCTCCTTTTCTTTTGCCAGATACTCTATTTCTTTTCTGCAGCCTGAAAAATATTTCAAGGCTCCAGCTGTGCAGATCTTCATCTCCGTCTCAACTTACAACAGTTCATTTAGTGACCATTCAAAGTTACAATGGCACTGAAAAAAATGATTTATGATTGTTTTTTACACTTACCACCATTGTAGCATTCCCATGGTGATGCAGTTAAAATTAAGATGTGTGGGAACTAACTCACATGTATGACATTTGCACCGCCCTGGGATCTTGTGATCACTTTTTGTGACCTTCTGACAACCAAAGACAATGGGGAAATCGGATTCACTTAATAACCGTGTTACTAATTTTACAACTGCAACTATGGCAAGAAAAGTCATAAAACGGGGCAAAATTCCCTTAACAAATGTTTCACTTGGTAACAAAAAAATGGGCTCAATAATGGTCATAAGCTGAGAACTACCTATGTATTTGGTTGTTTGTAGTCAGAAACCCAAGGCCAAAAGCACTGCAAGTTAATACAGCAGACAGTGCCTTTTCATCTGTATTTTTGTTTTTCACTGCCAGCAGAAGGCTATTTTTCCTTTTTCTTTTCTGATTAGGCAAGGACACTCTGTTGATTTGATGACAAACATGAAGTTGCCTACCATTTTCCATTTGTGCTGTCGGGGGAAATAAAATTACAGTAAATCAGTTATAAAAATGAAGGGGAGAAGGGCAAGCATGCTGAAAAGAAGGGAACAAAATAATTTATTACAATAAACAGCAAAGATAACCCAATTGTAAGAGATCTCAGATGATGGGTTATTCTTGAGCCACATCAATTGCTGAAATTCTTTGATTATGGTCTCCGTTCTTCATTAACTGATACTTTTCTTGGCTTTCTTATGAACTTGCCTAAGTGGTTCGTTCTTATCTGGAAGATGATGATGCTTGATAGTAAACAAAACAGATTGTAATAGCACAGTGTTTATATTTATGCAGGCTCTAAAATGTATATTTTCCCTTAATTATCTCTGCTGCCATCTTCCTTGTTACCTAGGCATCAAATTTTAGCCCTTGGGTTGTGTTTTGTGTATGTTTTATGCCATTCAAGTGAATGATGCTCAAGGAGCAAACCATTACAATAAATTATATGTAAGTTATATGGTCAGTAATCTAATCTTCGTTTAATATGTATTTTAATCCATGTTTTGATATATCAAAATAATTTTCTATTCTCTCTGAATTGCAGCTAGAATTAACTTTCAGCTACTTGGAAATCCAAGGAATCACTTGCAACAAACCAGGCCAGGTGAATATTTAGTTACAAATAGACAGAGAATTGCATAATCACAAGAATATTTTAATCAGCTTGATGGTTCTTCTACACAGCTTCATCCTGAAAGAAATCATATGGATTATGTTGCAAGAAATATTCATAGGAAGTTAAATTGCATATTTCTGCAGTATCAATATAACAAATTAGATTTTGGTTATACAAAAAGTAATGTTTCCCTTCATAAAAAATATAAGGACCAATTTGAATGTAGTTATAGCTTCCATGTTCAAATAAGATATTAAAAATGTTGTGAATGTAAAACATAAAAAATATTTTATTATTAATATTTTAAATTATTTTTAAAAAGAGAGAGAGGAATGCAGCAGAAGCCCGTGGTTTTGTATTTGGTTTATCTGGGGCTTATTTTATGCATGTGCATCTTCTACAAATGTTTTTCTTACTAAAAAGCATGATTTGGATTTAATATTTAAGACTGTTTTTGTGCTCAAACCTCAGGCTTCTATAAATTGTTACTTTACTTATTTGGATAGCATCTTAACTTTCTAGATCACAATTGTCTGTAGGTTACTATGACTGTACATATGAGCTAGGTAAATCTGGGCATCACAAACCACAACTAAAAAGCAGAAAGTGCAAGAAGTTAATCAATAGAAGATACCTTTGTGTTTCATCCAGGGATCTCCAAACTTGGCAACTTTACTACTTGTGGACTTCAACTTTAAGACTTGTGGACTTCAACTCCCAGAATTCCTCAGTCAGAATTTCCCAGCCATGGGAATTGAAGTCCACAAGTTTAAAAGTTGCCAAATTTGGAGAGCCCTGGTTTAAGTTGATACTGCAGTGTTGTGATGATATGATCTTACACGTTTAATGGACATCAATTGAAGAGATCTGTAAGAGCAAATTACCAACAACTTTTTCTTAAATTCAGAAGGGGTGTAACTGAAATATTTATTTCATAGGGAAGTATTTCCTCTTCCATCTCCTTTAGGAGTGGGAAACCATACTGAGATTTGGGACAGATTTCCATATTTTCCGTTGTCCTGAGATGACCCAAGAATTCATTGCACTTTTCCCCATTTCATTCCATTTTCAAAGTATCAGCAGTGTTAATCTGTAATCATTTTCCTCTTCAAATATATGGAGATGGGTTTCTGTACCAGTCTCCCTTCCTTCACAGACTCCCAACACTATGGCTATGCACTGGAAGCATAAATATCACATTCAACTTCAAATCTGTAAAGCAGGCAAGCCTTTCACATGGCAGCTGAGAGATCCATCATGCAATTCCAGGGAGTGGGGAGAGCTGCTGTAAAGATCAGCAGACATATGCTCAGTTCATACTCATGCATGTTCCAAAGCCCTTTAAAAAATAAATAAAATCCAAGGTACTGTACAGGGCTAATAAGCCCTTGTGAAGTCCTGCTGTTGTAAAAAAGATTCAGAGAAAACAGTGCTGCAGGTTGTTGGAAAAGCCACTTACAGAATGTGTCAATCGGAGATCTTATAACCAATTTATTCAAACATCCTAATAATATAAGGAGGTATTAAACTGCAGTTTTTCCATGGATTAGAGTGGGTCAGAAAACAGACTCTGGCTTTACCTAGCAAACCATATAGCTGCCTGTGTTATGTGTCAGCAGTCCTTCCTCCTTTCAGACAGATAAACATAGATTCTAACTGGTTTTTAGTTATTCACTATTGATGTATTTGTGATTTTTAAGAATTATATAAAATTATATAAAGGGTTACCTCATGTCTCTCCCGGTTTTTTATGCAGCTGATTATAGAAACTGAAAAGTGCAACATTTCTATGAAGTTAACTTCATCTGAAGATGTGCATGAGGTGTTGGCACATATTGGAACATGCCTTAGGAGAATATTCCCTGGTCTATCTCCAGTGTAGGTACATCTTGGTATAAATGCTTAGCAAAACAGTCAGTCAGTCTCTCTCTCTCTCTCTCTCTTCTCTCTCTCTCTCTCTCTCTCTCTCTCTCTCTCTCTCTCTCTCTCTCGTTGTATTTGGGTGTATCAGTGATGGTGATTTGTCTTCTCATTTCTAGATACTTTTTTAAGAATATGCATTACATTTATCCAAAGGAGATAGAATGGGGTGGGTTTCCATAGATTTTGTATCAAGCCGATACAGTACCTCATGGACAACATAGAGGAAGTTATTCTTTGATATAATATACCAGATATGTTGGCTCAAAACCACTTAAAAACGGTAGAATAGAAAGGTTATGCAACATTTTAGATTCAAATAGAAAACAGTATTTTCTAGCATGGAAGGGCACTTGCGTAATATCTATTGACTATTTTTTAAAGCAACTGCATCTTTTCCCAGAATTTTATTGTTCTCCATAAGTGCAGCATTTTTTCAGGGAAAAATGGTGTTTGCTTTAAAGAAGAAGTGGCAAGTACTATGTACACTATGTACAATTCAAAGGAATTTTTTCCTTTCAAATCCAAAGCACTGCACAATGCTTAACGTAAGTTTATGAAAATTTAATAGACTTAATATTGGGAGTGGGAGATAATATCTATCCAGGGAACAACTGCCATTCTCCAATTATCCAACTATTATAGTTGCTGCTGTTTTTCAGGATATCAGTACAATACCTTCTTTAGCAGCTTCTGGTGGTAATCTTAACAGTCTAGAAACAGTTTATAAATATTTTGAGTTTTCAAAAATATCAGTGCTGTTTCAGTGAAGATTTTAACAGTTCATTATGTGGAATCTTAATTAATAGATGTTTCATTTTATCATAGCCAGAAAATAAACCATGTCAAATAGCATTTTTAAAGAATCAGATGTAACCATATAGCCATGATGGCAAACCTATGGCACAGGTGGCACGAAGAGTCCTCTCTGCAGGCACCCGAGCCATTCTCCCAGCTCAGCTTCACTGTACTTGCGCGCACTTCTCCCGCTGGCCAGCTGATTTTCGGGTGTCTGCCGTACATGCGTGAGGGGCAGGGTGGATGCATGGGGGGGTAGCATGTGCATGCATGGGGGGGCATGGAGTTGCACACATTGCATTATGTACGCAGGCATGCCCTTGCATACTTTTGGTACGCAATGACAAAAAAGTTAGCCATCACTGCCATATAGTATGATAATTGTAAATGTTATGGCGATGAGATCACAGTACCTTTACAGAGTGCTTTGAGATTTATAAGGATAAAATCTAACAGAATTTCAACATTTATATTAGCTAAGGGATAATTCATTCAAATTTCAGATGTGGGACACAATCCCAATGGAAACTTTTAGTTCAAGTACATAAGTATGAAACAGCAAACTACATTTGGATGAGTTCTAATTCATGTGTGCATTTGCTTTTGACTTCTAGGAGAATAATGAAGAAAGTAATTATGGAGCCCCCAGACAGGCTGGCTAATCTGCAGACTCTATGGGACAGTCAAACTGTAGGAGAATTAGGCCCATGTGGTAAGTGTGTATGCTTTTTTAGCTGAAATATGGAGTTTCTGGCCTCACCAGTACACGGAAGCTTTGTTGTATTTCTGATGTAGAGTTACCTTTTGGGGAAAAATATAAATAGTCCTAAGGTATAGTTAGAATGATGAGCCATTTTGAGCAGTGTGGGAAGATGCTATTTTTATGCTGTATCCTGCCTTGCTGTATATTCTAGAGGAATAGGTTCAGTTAGTTGCATATTGTGCTTGAGGATAGTATGCGTGCCAGAGAGAGAGAGATAAAATCATCTTACTATCAGGATCTTTGTATCAGTTTTTAAGAATTATTCCCCTCAGCGATAAAAGTGTTCTTTTTGTTTGTTTTTAGGTGGGTTTTCTCAGATGTATGCATGCGTTTGTGACTGGCTGGGCTTTCCATATAGGGAAGAAGTGCAGTGGGTAAGTATAGAAATAAGTATACTTGCAGCTACTGAGGCAAAAAGAAACAAAAAGGGCCTTAATTAGAGCCCATCAATTATGTAAGCAATTTTGTGCTAAGGAATTAAACAGTTTTTCTCTAAAATGTATTACGTTCTTTTTTATCTATCTAGGATGTTGATACCATTTATCTGACTCAAGATACCAGGGAATTAAATTTGCAAGACTTTAGCCATCTTGACCACAGGTAAATACTAAGATCCTGGATAAATGAAAGTGTATGTTAGTCATCTAATGTGAAGATTATATGTCCAGTAATAATCTTCTGATCACCTTGGATACTAAAGAAGAACCTTTTGTTCAGCAGGATTTTAACAGCTGCGAAGGGCTCATCTTGCTCTCAGTTTTCATTACTTTGCAATTATGAGATGAGATATACATGAGTAGAAAATACTTTCATTCATACATTGGGAGAAGCAGTGTTCCTTCTAATTGCAGCTCTTCATACTTTACGGAATGCAATTTTATAAGGAGGGGTGTGTGGAGTTGCTCCTTGATTCAAACAGCTGACTTAAACAAGAGCTTAAAATCCTCGTGTAGATCCTGACTATCTTTACAAATTGTGAACTATTGGTTCATATGTAAAATACCGTTTAAGTGTATGTATTTTATTGGTCAGAAACAATATTGTAATAGAAAGGGGATCATTGAAATTAAATACTTAAAATTGTATTGGAAATGAGTTGGAATTCTCATAATTTTCACATAATCAGAATAGTTTCTTGTTCAAAGGAGCTAGTAAAATGTTAAAACATATTACAAGTAGTCAATTAGTGACTGCCTTGTTAGTGACCATTTGCAGTTCACAATGGTGATGAAAAGGTAACTTTGAAACCAATCCTTGCTTTGTTGTGGTCAACACAGAAACATTTAATGCGTAAATGTAAACATATGTTAAATGTTCATTCTAATTGAATAAGTTCTAAAAGAACTTATAAAAGGAACAGTTTATCAGATGAAAATGCTGTGTATGAGATTAAACAAAATTTGAAAATACATGGTAATTTAGTTGCAGAAATCTTAAGCAGGCATTTATTTTGGCAAAGAATGAAATGTCGAAACTCAGGTCATCTTATATATAGTTCAAGAGTTAATGCAAGAGAAAAATGATAATAAAAAAACAGTTCCTACAACCTCCTAAATCACTTCTGTCTATAAATTTTTGTTTCAATGTATGATTTTTTTTCTTTACTTAGAGATTTAATACCAATAGTTGCTGCCCTGGAATACAATCAGTGGTTTACAAAGCTTTCCTCTAAGGATCTAAAGTTAGTAAGTATTAGGATGCAGAATGACTGTATCTTGATTGTTTGGGGGAAACGTGTTGTGTAGAATATATAATTATTTTAGAAGAGTAGTTGTTCAAGTCTTCTGATATTTCATGACCTGATAGACAGGGTGGACAATTAACTATTTCAAGTGGCCACATGAGAAACTGGAACTGTTGTGAAGTGCTGAGCCAGTGTAACCTGATTTGATGTTCTAGAACTCTGTTACCTCAACTCCTCAGGTAGCTTCAAGCAGGGGGTGAGCGCTTTCTCTCCTCGCCCTTCCACAGCCATGAAAGAGCACATGAGCTGTACCTTCTTCTCCTACCCCCTACAGCGCATTTAGTTACATTTGATTTCTAATTTCCAATTAACTTCATGCAGGCTGGACAGAGACAACCAAAGGCTGAATGTGGTCTGCAGGCAATAAAATACCCAGGTCTGTGATAGACACCACTGCACCAGGATTATCTGTCAGCAAACTGCTTCTTTTAGCTCTTCTCAACCTATTCTTGTATCATCAAATAGTCTCTAGCCACTGTGTTTTTTATTGGCCCTTTTTTCCCAAGGATCACGATCAATGGCAGTTGCTTTTTATTATTTGTACTGAGTATTTTAGCTTAGGTTTTGTTATTAATACTTCTGCTGAGCACACTGGCAAATGACTCTATTCAGTGATTTCATGTAGACATTGAATAGAAGGGGAGAGAGCTGATAGTGAAAAATATCATTTTTGTTTGCTTATTGTATATAGAGGCATTTTTAAAGATGCCCAAAAAAATCAATCCAGCGTTCTTAAAACACTATAGTCCTAATAAAAAGAAAAAAAATGTAAACAGATCTGTTTAAAAAATAATTCTGCTGCAATTAAATTAACTAAGTTGTACAAACATTACTGACAAGCATTTAATCTTAACAAGTATTTCAGAGGATGAAGTGGAATATTCCTTGTTTAAACAGTCTGGAAATTGCACAGCCTTTAGAAGGAAATTGGCCTCCTAGTCTTGGAAAATTCAAATAATATGTTCAAAAAAGCAAGTTATATCAAAGTGTACTGTTATTTAAGATGTCACTGAAATGATTATAGTGAACTTATTTTGTTTAGACAGAGCTAACAGTTATATTTTACAAGTATGTGTGCATATTTAAAATGGAGTGAACAGAATCAGCAGAATAATTTGTATTTTGATCTGAACTCTTAAGTAAGCTTACAGTAGGATTCCTCAAGCCACTACCCACATATATAACTTTGTAACACTGGGGAAAAAACGTTCCATTTTCTGCATTATCTTAATTATTTGGCATTCTTAGAAGCTATAGGAGTACTTCAGAAAATATTTTGTGCAGGTTTCTTTTTGCACTTTATTCATTTTTAATTTTGAATAGGGCAGTTTTATATAGATAGTAGCATAAAGTTGGAGAATATTTGCAGAAAGTTAAGTCTTACTAAACTTTAGATGCATTATGAACTACATAGTCCAAAATCAAACTAAAGGAATAGAAGGCTAAATACATTAAAAATACACCTGGGCTTATATTAGTTTTGTAATTGACATAAGAACTTTCCTTATGACTGGTTAGGATCACTGTTCTAATATGAATAAGGAGGAAAGTATATCAATAAGTTTACTGAGCTCTTCATGAACTTGCCAACATTTCTTGCTATTAAGCTGTTCTAGAAAAAATATGTGTGATATTTTTACCTCATATGGGCTACATCATTGCTGACAAAACCTGGTTCTTTGTGCTGTAGTAGGGGGCACCAAACTGAATTTGTAGAGTTTTGTGACTAGATCACTGCATGAACTTGAATGAATTCATTGTCTGTAATTATCTGTAAGTCATGCTGTGCACCACTGTTAAGACTTTTTATATTATTCAGTAACAAAAAAAGGTACCACCTCACCAGCCTCTCAACTTCTTGTATTGCTAATACATTTCTTTTGGTTCTTAATATTGCATCATTGTTCTCATGACAGTCCACTGATGTTTGTGAGCAGATCCTAAGAGTTGTGAGCAGATCCAGTAGATTGGAAGAGCTAGTACTAGAGAATGCTGGTCTTAGGACGTAAGTCATTCTTTTTAATTAATCAACACTAACATTTTTAATAAAGCCTAATAACATCAGAGGAAGTTGCAAGTCTGAAGCTGCAGTGTTGCATTATATTTATTGGGGGTTAATGGCATTAAACTGAGTTGGCATATTTACTTATTGCAGTTATTTCCAAGCATAGTTTTACTGTAGACAGCTTTGTTACAATTGCAAACTATCTATTTGAAATTTATTTTCCAGGAGTCATAGTATGCAAATGTGACATTAGCATTACTACTGTACTTGTTACAGTTTTGTGGGTTACCCTTTTGGTTTATTCATGCTAGAAGTATATTTAGGATTGGTCTTTTAGAAAATAAATCTCTGATGGAATGGCTTGCCCTTATGCCACTTGGGGGTGGTAGGGAGGAGCCATTATATACATTCATAAAGGAGAATATTGGTAGCTCAGGATTGAAATGAGGGGTCCTTGGTGCTTAGTTTGGGTAATGAAATCTGCAAGAAAACTACCAAGCTCAGAGAGCACCAAGGACTCACCCCCCAGATATTCATAACTTAAAACAATTGTTGATAGCAGCTTGGCTGTGTGATTGTATTGAGGAAGGCCTATTTTTAAGTAGTTGTACAAAATATAAGAAATCAAGATTATATCTTAATTATTAAATGTCTTTGCAACATAGCTTAAAACATACAACATTCATAAAAGTACATATGTCTATAAATGAGATTAGCAATCTTTAAAAAATAATAATGAACAAATACAATCTAGGCCAAGTGAGCTACTCCTTTGGAGAATCCATCTGAGGTTGAACAACTTTGCTGATATGTATAAATATATATTCTACTTGCCATTAGGCAGCATAGATAAAATAAAAATATCATGTCTGTTTTGAATCACTCAATAATGTGTATTAGAGGTATGCAGTGATTTGGCTCTAGAAAGACGTTTCAGAGTAATGGTGGGTGAATGTAGCATCTGGCTGCAAGTCTTCAAAGCAGCTGCATCTTGTACTGGGATCACATGAAATGCTGAGTGTGAATTATTTCCAAACTGCTGTATAATTTTTTTCTCATCAAAAATAATAGAAAACAGGATATTAAAAGTAGACATGGAATCTTTCCTGCCCAATGTACACTTGCATACCTAGTGTAGCATCCCACTTATAAATCAATTGCTGCAACTAACAATATATGTGCAAACCCATGTACTTGAATGTAATATTCTAAATAGGTTCCTTAGTTCAGTGTAGCCTATAACCAGTTCATATTAAACTCATGAAAATGGTATAATGCAAAATAAAGTACATTTTTTTATGTTTTTCTTTATTTCTTAGAGATTTTGCACAGAAGCTGGCCAATGCTCTATCCCACAATCCCACCTCAGGACTTCACACAATTAATCTTGCTAACAACCCTCTAGAGGACAGAGGTACTGTCACACTTTCCTTTCCCACTCATAATACAAGCGCAATAAGAAGATTAGTATATTTCTTTCAGTTTTTCTTGAAATCAAACAATATTATGAATTCTATTACTGCATCGTAAATACTTACAATTGTTAGTGAAGAACTTTTCCTCTTTCAGATATCTATGATCACTTATGTTAGTTTGTTGACAGATGATGCTTAATAACTAGATGGGACATGAATATCCATGGAATAGAGGGACTGTATCACAACATACGTAATGAAATGTATGTTGTGATACAGTCTCCAATCCTCACATAACAGTTTTATATACAGCTTTTATATTTTAATATTTTACTTGTACACTTCCCAGAATCCTGCTGTGAGGGAGATGAGCAGTTTCTAAATTTGATAAATAAAATAAACAAAACTAAATAAAGTAAACAGTAATTACTCTGCAAATATGTTTTCACTTTTGATATGGGCCTCATTTTTATTCTTTTACAGGAGTATCTTCATTAAGTATTCAGTTTGCCAAACTACCAAAGGGGCTGATGCATTTAAATTTATCTAAAACCTCATTATCACCTAAAGGTATATAACAATTGGCTTAATTATAATGAAATATATTTCTTTTTAAGCTCTATTATCTGAGTATTTATTCATTTCATAGTTTTCCAAGGATAAGATAAATAATAAGTTTGAACAATGTCCTGCATCACATAACTGTTTTGTCCATGGCAGCCAAAATTAGCTGCAACGCATTTTCACCATTGGATTCTTCCACTTGATATGCTTGACCGGTTGGCATGTTGTATAATCTTGATATCAATGTCAGAATTTTACTAAACAAGTCCATAACAATTTGCTTCTTCCATAGCAGTAATAATTTGACTGGATTCATGGTGACTTCAGCACCTAAAGAGCAAGGCTCGGACTCTTTGCCATTTCCATTGCTCAGACTCTGCCATTTCCAACACCTGACTAGGGTGAACTCACACCAGGACAGTGCACACCAAATTTCTCATCATAGTAACACCACCAAATCCTCCAATCTCTGGCAGGCCACTTGTGATCTTAAGCAGTTAACCAAGGATGCATGACTACTCAGGTCATTTTATTTTGAGAAGTTTTCCAGTCTGCTTCACTGATTCTTTCTCCACAAGTTTTGACACTGCTGATTGGTCCAGTAAAGCTAAATTCTCCACTTCTAGTCATCTGTCCCATACACATGATATTCAACTCTATATTAAAGAGAAAATGTGAGCAACTGAATGTATTTCACAGATATTTTTCTTCAGGATCTTTTTTGTCAAGTTTAGTTTATTTTTATTACATCCTGAACAGCACAATTACATCATCCCTGAAAGGCTTAAGGTAGTCAGTTTCTTTTTACATATCATTATGACACAATAAGTATCCTGTATTATTTGATTTTATTGCCTCATTGTCTAATTTTCTTGGTCCATAAGGTCCAAGAGACACCCATATCTCTCCATCCCCCTCCATAATAAATGGAACCTTTCCTTTCATCAGGTTCAATAGTATCAAGCTCCCAGGCAGTCCCACATCCGATAAATCTGTCACTCCATTCATCTCAAGCCTCCTCCAATAGCTCCTCCCAAAGGACCCCCTTTGACTATCCACATTTTGTCTTAATGATAGCTTCCTCATGCACCAGATAGAGTCTTGGGAAGGGCTTGTGTACAGGACAAGAACTTTTATGTTAGGCATTATAATTTGGAAGACACCCCTCATTGTCCTTCACCTAATACAGAAGTAGACAATCAGTCCACTTTTCAACTTCAGAAGATATCTGTAATGAAATATATAATACGGTTTGGAAGTTACACCATCTGACCCACCAATTTAGGATCTCTTTCAATTTGCCCATGCCAGTACATCGATGAAACCATCTTTTGCATTTCCCATTTTCAAATTCCGAATAAGGCTGTTTCTCTTTCACCTTCTTTCTAATTCTACTGCAGTGTGTTGTGGCCGAAGCGTTACCATAATACAGGCACTTCTCGACTTACAACTGTAATGGAGGCTGCCCATTACTGTCACAAGTTGTAATAGTCATGAAGGGGGACATCACATGACTGGGCCTGTCCGTATTTGTAAAAACAAATGCTGTAGTTGTTACGTGAATGTCATGGTCGTTAAGTGAACCCATTGTTCACCATGGGGCTTTTTTTGCCAAAAACTGGAAATAAATGCATACCTCAGAGTCATGTGACTGGGATGCTGCAAACATTCATAAATGCATCTTCGTGGAAAGGGAGGGGTGGCCATCAAAACTTCAGAACTGGATAACAAGTAATCCTGGAGAGATCCATCCAGGGTTGGGATGCTACTGGTTCTGCCTGGCTCTATAGAACCGGTAGCTCTGAAGAGCAGCAGACACTGAACCGGTTCTGTGTCTGCTGCTGTTTGGCCCACCTGCCCGCCCGGGCTCTTACCTGTCCTTTATTTCCTGCTTTTTCAACCTCAGCTGCTTTGCGCGGCTCAGCTGAGATTAAAAAATCAGGAAAAAAAGTGGCTTTTCGAACGCTGCTCACCTGTGTCCAGTGCTTTTCAGCTGTCCAGGTGGCACAGCTTAAGGTTGCGCGCAAAACGTAGTCACCGAACCGGTACTAACACCGGTTGAATCCCACCCCTGGATCTATCATAGAGTTGAATGGTCGCTGAGAAACCAGTTGTTAAGTTATGGACTACCTGTATGAGTAAGAAAGTCAAGAAATTGGGAGGCAATCATAGAACATTCTACAGTGCCCTGGATTTCAGTTGTGCTAAGTAAGGTTGTCTTACTGTGTATTAAAATTTTCTATGGGAAAAATCAGCTAATTTGTTTTCTCAAGCTTTGAGAATAAGAAGATAAATTTGTTAAGATCTTTTTAAGCTGAAGCCACACAGGGTAGCCAAGCAGTAAATAAGCACTGTTATTTACATGCAGGTGACTTAGCTCACAAATGGGTCCATCTGTTGTTCTGTTCAGTATTCCCCAGACAGTTATTCTGGAGGCATGCCTTTTATGTTCCTTCTACCTGAATGCTGTATGATCTTAGCAACATTCTTTAGAAGAGTAACATTTGCTAAGCTACACCATTTTCACAGCTGTTTGTCTTTGATTAATTTCAAATCCGAGTGGTAGGGTAGCAGAATTATCTTTGCTGTAGTCCTAGCTCTCTACTTCTAGTCTGGTAACTGAAAAATGACTTATGGGTATGAATTACACAGACCATTTTACCTATAATTCTAGTTCTTTGAATTAATATTTGTAAATTCACAATATTTACTTATCCACCTTACATTATTTGTGCTTCCTCTAAAACAGGGGTGGGATTCAACCGGCGTTACTACCGGTTTGGTGATTATGTTTTGCATGCGCATTTTGTGTGCAGGTGTGCTTGATGCGCGTTGTGCACGCATGTAAAATAACCTTAGGCTGTGCCGCCCAGACAGCTGAAAAGCACTGCACACAGATGCGCAGCGTTCGAAAAGCCTCTTTTTCCCTGCTTTTTTCACCTCAGCTGTGCCGCGCTAAGCAGCTGAGGTTGAAAAAGCGGAAATAAAGGACAGGTAAGATCCCAGGCGGGCGGGTGGGCCAAACAGAAGCAAACACAGAACCGCTTCTGTATCTGCTGCTCTTCAGAGCTACCATCTCTATAGAACCGGGCAGAACCTGTAGTATCCCATCCCTGCTCTAAAACCATTACTCTGATCATTCCCAGTAGTTTAATGGACACAGGTGCAAAAGGATTCATGTCTATAAATTCACTGATGACTTTTCAGAGACTCACAGCTACCATTATTACAAATTAAGATTACTACTGAATCTTGCTTGTCTTCTTTTTTCACCTGTTTTTTTTCTAATTTACAACATCATTATATCCATATCAAATTATCCAGACAGACGTCTTCTGTAAAATATTTAATGATTTGTCATACAATAGCAAGTCATACATTGATCGGTTTCATTTGAACTAATCTATTCAATAAACCATTGTTAATATGACATGTAAAAACAGTTAATGAACTGTGTGATTAGCTCTCTTCTGCTAAATACCCTTTTCGGTTTTATTATTGATTTTTCCTACTCATCAATTTTGTCTGATAACCTTTAGCCTGGATCCCTGATGGCACTAAGGACTAGGTAAATTCAGTAGCTAGACATTATTCCTGTTGTATTGTAATTAATCCTGAATAATTACAGTCTTCACATTGTCCTCTAATTATTGTTTGCCAACTCCAGTTATGATTCACACATCCTTTGAAGATCAGTTGATATTAATACAGGAAGTCCTTGACTTACAATAGCTCCCTTAGTGACCATTTTAAATTTCAAGGGTGCTGGAAAAAGAGACTTATGACTGTTTTTCACACTTACAACATTTCAGCATCCTTGTAGTCACGTGATCAACTTTCAGATGCTTGGCAACTGATTCATATTTATGACCTTTGCAGTGCTCTGGGGTCATGTGATCCTCTTTTGCAAACTTCCGACAAACAAAGTCAGTGGGGAAGCGGGATTTACTTAACAACCATGTTACTAATTTAACAACTGCAGTGATTCACTTAACAATTGTGGCAAGCAAGGTTGTAAAATGGAGCAAAACTCACTTAACAAATGTTTTATTTAGTAACAGAAATTTTGGTTGTAAGTTGAGGACTACCTGTATTTATATTTAAGTGAAATTTAAAGGGAATGATTGTACAGAAAATATTGCTTCTTTTCAAAGCACTATTAAAATAGTCCTGTGTGAAGTTGTGTGTGAAGCAGCTACACGTTGCTTGCAGAAACAAATACAAATTACAATTTGTTTCTGTTAAGGTACAACGATATCATTTTCCTTCTGTGGGAGATTGGGAATTATATTCTTTCACAAAATTTTGGAGCCGTCTGCAGGATAGCTTTACTAATATAGATTTTTTAAATGTTAATATTCTTTTGATGAGGTGCAGAACAAAAAAAATCAATTTGGAAACTATACTTACAGGAAATACACGAATTCATTACTGGACAAAGAAGCAATTTTGGTCATTTTGTTACAGGGGTGAACAGCCTTTCACAGTCACTGAATGCCAACCAGCTGTTAGCTACCACTCTCACCCACCTTGATCTCTCAGGAAATATTCTTCGAGGTGATGATCTTTCAGTAGGTGTTCTAATCTAATTTTTTATATAACAAGACTTTTTCCATCTAATTTTTGTAATAGTTGTGATGAAATTACAGCTTCCACAATTTCTACCAAGAATGGACATTTCAAGTTTGATAAAATGCTCTATTTCCCTTAGGTGAAGGACATAGTAAAGTGCATGCTAGCCAGAAAAGAAAAACTTTGTTGCAGAGGCAAATAAATGGCACTCATTTGCTTTTGCAAATGTTTGGCTTTAAATGATAAGGGAATGTTATGCTATTTGACAGAAAGATGGATGATATAGTGTGACAGTACAGTTGTTTCTTTTTTTTCTTTCATTATTGCTTTAGTAAAAAAAATACAAGGCAAAAAAGAAAAAGGAAAGGTGGATATTTTAATATAATAAATAAAATAAAACAATAAATTTTTATTTTAATTAAAAATCATTGTTAACTGAAAATGAAAGTGGATGGATTATTAACATCAAGGTTGTTGATCTTCCAAAATAAGCCATGTGGTAATGTCTGTATGCTAAAAATAAGTTGTTTATGTACTGTTTTGTGTATATGGAGTTAAGATAAAAATACAGTAATAAGAAAACTAAACTTATTTCTTTCTCTTTCACACATCTAGTCCCTGTGTAATTTTTTGGCTCAGCCAAATGCCATAATTCATCTGGATTTATCAAATACAGAGTGTGCATTAGACATGGTAACGTTTATTAATTTATTATAGAGAATCCCCACTTTTATATTCCAAATTGTTTTATGTACATACATACTATTTAATTCCTTTCCGATTTAGGTGTTTGGAGCACTTCTTCATGGCTGCCTTCAGCATCTTGCCATCCTAAATCTGTCAAGGACAGTTTTTTCACACAGGTCAGCATTCAAAATATTATGCTGTCTGAGTTTGTGTTTTCTTGCAGATGTTTCTTTATCAAACTAGGTAACATCATCAGTGCTAGGGACAACACTGATAATGTTACACCTAGTTGAGATTTATCCACTTGAATCTTTTCAAATATATTAATTTCCTACACTGATGTGGTAGGCATGTCATGCAGTGTTTATACATAGAGAAGAGCCAAAAGGCTATGTGAAAAGTTGTGGTTTAAGTTTGTTTTCAGTTCATTCATCCAACTATGAACATTGATCCAGATAAGAGCTGTGGTAGTTCAGTGGTTAGAATGCAGTACTGCAGGCTACTTCTGCTGACTGCCAGCTGACTGCAATTTGGCAGTTCAAATTTCACCAGGCTCAAGATGACTCAGCCTTCCATCCTTCCGAGGTCGGTAAAATGAGAACCCAGATTGTTGGGGGTATGCTTATTCTGTAAACCGCTTAGAGAGGGCCGTAAAGCACTGTAAACCAGTACATGAGTCTTAAGTGCTATTGCTATTAAAAGTGGTCAATGAATGTTATTCAAGTATCGTATAAAATATATGTAGCACTTTAATTTCTCTTATGTATAATTACTATACAACTGTGGATTCTTATGCTGACTTTGAAGATCTTTTGAGCTTATAGAATTTGATTTGGGTTTTTTTAAATCTTCTTCAAAGAAAGAACAAGGAAATTCCCCCATCCTTCAAGCAGTTTTTCAGCAGTTCAGTTGCTTTAATGCAAATCAACCTTTCAGGAACTAAACTTACACCTGAGCCTCTAAAGTAAGTAAGCATTTTTTCTTTCAAGATTTTGTTTTATTTCAGTGGGAAAATGTTTTATGACAATCTTACTGTGGTTAGGAAAATAACCCATATGATGTTTTGTAAGTTTGAGAATAGCTACTTGGCTTTACATGGAATGAATGTCAGAAATGAAATATTCAGTATGAATTTACTTTGACTTGACTTTTGATGTCCAATCTTCACTCATATGTAGGAGAAAGGGTTAAGATCTAAGCAGTCCTACAGTTTATCTAGACTTGAATATGACAATTTAATACATTGTGTAGCAAAAAAATCTTTAATTCAGATTGAAAAAAACCTTATGGGATACTTTACAGCACGGATGTCTAATCTTTTGGCTTGCCTTGGCTCCACTGAGTGAAGAGAAATTGTCTTGGTCTGCATATAAAATATAGAAAATATTTAAATGTATACAAATCACATAATAATATTAAAAATTTACGATCTTGTAGGATCACATTACTAGCTGTCCAGGGCTATGGGTTGATATGCCTACTTTACAGGGTTGTTTGTTCTTTGATTTATGAATTATAAAATATAGCAATTTTTCCATCTTATATTCTAAGTTGCTTATTTTTTGAAGTATTTAGATATTTTTGCACTTAACAGTTTAAGTGTAATACACTTTGATGAAATTAATATTAAAATGTTTTGGCTTTATTTAGAAGATTAGAGACATTGCAGAATGATGTTTTCATGGCATTTGTTTGTCATTATGTCAACATGTGAGACTTTGCTTAGTATGTTCCTCAATTTTCAAACCATAAAATAAAGAAGATAACTCAGGTGCAGAGTGAAACTGGAGGTCCTGTACATTTGAACCTCTCTAGCTCTCCATAGCATGGTTTGTCCTGAAAAAGCATAACTTATCTAGCATATCCCTTTCAGAGTCCAAATAAGGAATAATATACCAAATGACTATATTCTTAAAGAACAGCAATATAATTGAAATGACTTCTCTGATTTGCTGATTCAGTAAACTTTACAGCGGTATTCCATATAATTCCAATTTATTTTTCAGAGCGCTCTTACTTGGTCTTGCTTGTAATCAAAATTTGAAGGAGGTACTTCTAGATCTGAGTAACTGTGAGGTAGGAAACCTTTACAAATGGCATCCATGTCAAAAATAATATTGCCCTCTTTAGATATATGATCCTTATACTTTGTACATGGCATCGTGCTTAATAAGTAGCCTTTAAAAGTGCATTGAATTTGCAAAACCTGAATGTCTTCCATGCAAGTATGTGCATGAACAGCCACAAGACATGACACTCTGTTCTGGAAAAGGAAAGATTCAGATGGAAAGATTGATTCCACATGTAAGTCTGCATTAAAAAATAATTAAGCGTTTAGAAGTTCATGGGCAAAACTTTAAAAAGTTCTCTGTTTTGTTTGAAATTAAAACCTTTCTTGCAGTTATTGGCCAGCATAAATCTGCTGCTATATTTCTTGTATTCTTAAGTGTAAGGTCTCTTTAGGCTATTCTGAAACCTTACTTTTTATCATAGATGCAGTTAGTGTCTTCAGATAAAATGGCAAAATACACTTATTTATTGATATGAATCCATTCCTTATCGGGGATTGCATGCATATGAAACAGAAAGCACAGCAGCTCAGACTTCTCTGTCCAGACTCTCAGGATTTCATCACTGAAACATGCAAAAAAATCATCTCAAATATATCCAGCAACAAACATCTGGCATACTAACTCTGAACCAAACTTCATACCTTTGTATACTGTTGATCTTAATATATAAAATACTTTAGTTGCTCAGTGCTAACATTTTTCCTTTCTTTCTTTCTGCTTCCATTAGCTTGGTCACTGTGTAAGTACACATCACGGCTTAACTAGCAGCCTCTTAATTATTTACCCTTAAGCATCGCACTTCCTGCCTATCCATTACACAGTTTTTTCTTCCATGCTTTGGATGCTGATATTTGACCACAGCATAACAGGTTTAGAATGAAATGGTCAAAGAACAGTTATGGTCAAAAGAATAGTTATGGTCACTGCCAGCAATTTCCTGTGATAAAACTGGAAAATATACCAATTTTTAAACTGCCTTTGTCTAGGAATCCCTACTAGGCTGGGAATTCCCAAATCCATATGTACAGTTTTATTTATTTAAAATGACAGGCGTTTATTATTTAATATTCCAAAGTGGAATTAAATTTTTGCAGAAAATATCATAATTCCAAAGAATCTGCAACTTTTGTAGTGTTCATTGTTAATCTAAATTATGAAAGAGTGACATTTGGGGTTCATCCCATCCTTTCTAGGTAGAAGATAGTATTTTAATCTAACTATGCATTGGCATCTTATTTAATTTTTTTTAAATTCCCAGCTTAATCAGCAGCCCTTAGATTTCCTGTGATCTCTCATCCAAGTACTTACCACATCTAACCCTGCATAGCTTTTTCAGGATCAGAGAAACGGAAAGAGTTGGGAAGTTAGAGTACAATAGTGGTTAAAAATTCTTGAATTTTCAATATTTCTACATAAAAATAGCCTAAAATGTGATCTGCTTTCCACATACAACCTAAAAATTGGTAAAGAAAATCCAACTAAATAAATTAATCAGAAACATTGTAATTGTTCATTTATTCAATCAGGAAAATTATACAAGCTAATGTTTGAGTGTGGCAAAAGTAGGTGAACTGTTGCTTTCAGTAACTGCTATAGCCCTCTTTGGCCATAACTGGAACATTGAACTAACATTTATAATTATTGATCAGACCTGCACACCAGCATGCTAGCACATTCCTCCTTACAGAGCAGCTTCAGCTCAGAGACATTGGTGGGCTTCCTTGCATAAAGTGCCTGCTTTAGGTCCTTCCACAACATTTCTATAGGATTAAGATCAAGACTTTGACTTGGCTATTCTTATCTAAAGCATTAACTTTCCCCTGCTTTAACCATTATTTGGAAGTATGATTTGTGTGTTTTGGGTCACTGTCTTGTTGCATGACCCACATTTTCTTGAATTCCAATTGCTGCCTAGACACCCTGACTTTTTCCTATAGAATTTGCTGGTACAATTCAGAATTCATACATCTGTTAATGATGACAAGCTGTCCTGGTTCAGAGGCAGCAAAGTAAGCCCAAATCATGAAATTGCCATTACCATGTTTCATAGACGGGGCAAAGTTATTATGCTGGAATGCATTGTTTGCCTTCTGCCAAACATAACACTTTATATTCAAGCCAAAAGTTCTGTTTTGGTCTCATTCATCCACATTCTTCCAATAGCCATCTGGCTTAGTCACATGGCCTTTTGCAAACTGTAGACTGGTAGCAATATTCTTTTGGGTGAGCAATAACTTTCTCTTTGCAACCCTGCCATGCACACCATGGTTGTTCACAGTTCTTCTGATGGGGGTTCCATGAACACTGATATTTCCTAATGCAAGAGAGGCCTTTATTTTGTTTAGTGAAATACAGACTTGTACTTGCACTTCAGAGTTTACTGCAATATTGCATGGCTCTGCATGTTCTCTTTTTCTTGTTTCAATTGACTTAAGTGTCAAGTCAGCAGCTTGGTGGCCAAGAGTCATGTTGAGTATAATTAAGTCTTTATTAAAGAGATTGTAAAACCTTGGGAATTGGTACGTAGGCACAAACCTGAATGTTGTTTAGATCATTGGAATATCTATGGGAGCTGCTGTAGACTTCCATTAAAAAGATATTACTTAAGAGGTCAATTTTTAATTAGCATTATCATTTGTAACATATATGTCTTATTAAATGTCAAATTGGTTAAACCACAGATTAACAATTAATAGACACATGAACTGTTGAAGCATATTGTAATATTTCAGCCAATTATTCCACATTGTCTAGCTGCTAAATTATCTAATATTTTCTTTTTTCCTCCAGCTAAGATCAGCTGGTGCACAAGTTTTAGAAGGATGCATAGCAGAAATTCATAACATTGCCAGCCTTGATATTTCAGACAATGGTAAGGTGGACTATTGACAATGATTCAAATACTGTACAGAGAGAAAACTGTTTAAAGAATACGAATCATACAAAGTGATTGTACTGGCATCAAGAAAAATGGTTCTAGTTGATAAAACCTTTTGTGGTTTGCAGAATAGTTGAAATGGGTATCAAAATGCAGGATAATAATAGTGTTGGTGCAACTAGTTGAATATAAACTACCATAGATCACAGTGGATTTTTAGGCAACATTACTCTGGCTGCTCATGGGACAGTTTAGATACTATGTGTGGGTTGTTAAAATTGCCTATTTCCTAATAGTGAATATTTTATGATTAAGCATATTATATATATATATATGCCTAGTGTAATCCTGTACATCTTAGAAAGAAATGGAATAGAAGTTCAAATCTTTCATCCTGGATCAAGAATCTCACTGAAATCAGTTGGACTCAAATACAGAGAAGTTGTAGTTCAGCAATTTAATGGCTTCCAACTCTCCTTTTCTCTGTTTATTTACAATATGTCACCAAACAACTTTACTGTTGGGAGCAGGATCATATCATCTAATTTTTATATGGTTAATTTAAATTCATTTGAAAAAAGTGCTCAATGGAAACATTTTAATTTTATATTTCAATCTAATTCTTAACAGGCCTAGAGTCTGATCTTTCAACACTTATAATCTGGCTTAGTAAAAATCGATCAATAAGGCACTTGGCATTGGGCAAAAATTTCAACAACATGAAATCCAAGTAAGATTTTTATTTTTATTTTATTTCATTTAAAAAAAAATAAGACAAGTAAGCAATTTCATTTTTTTCTCTTGCTTGCTGCCTTCTTCAGAAATCTGTCTCCTGTGCTTGATAATTTAGTACAGATGATTCAAGATGAAGATTCAGTAAGTATTTTTATTATTTAATGTCACCTAAGGAATCATAGCATATTACGCTAATATGTGAAAATATAGCTCATATGAATTTACCATTTCAGATTTATATAAAAAATAGGAAGTCAGCTGTTCTAAAAGGTATTATTTTAACATTAATTTTTTTAGGGATCTATATTTTATTTTATGTAGCATAACAGTCTTTGAAGTTTAATAGAAAATAATGTTTAAATATTCCTGTCCTTTCTTTTAACTTGCAACATCAACCAATACTTTATTTTCTGGTTTTGTTTATTTGTTGTCATTAAATGGTATTACTTGCCTGATTTGTAAGAATAATTTTGTTCTTTGGTCCCTGATGGCCGATAATCAAAATACATGTCAGTAAAGATTTACAGATTACAGATAATCAGAGTTGGAAGGGACCTTGTAGGTCATCTAGTCCAACCCCCTGCCCAAGCAGGAGACCCTACATCATTTCTGACAAATGGCAGTCCAATCTCTTCTTGAAAGTCAACTGGTGGCGCTCCCACAACTTCCGATTTAGTTTATAGTGAAATTGATTTGAGTCAATGCAGATGAGGATGAAGGAGTATTATGTATGTTCGCCACCTTGAGTTATTTATTTTTTTAAAAAGGACACACACAAATACATACACGCACACAGACAGACACAGTGTTTCCCTCATTCCTGAAACTATGAATCTTGCAGCACCACGGCAGTTGTTCACCCTTAGAAACAACTGCAGAGGATCTGCCACATTTGTCCTGAACGTTGCCAGCGAAAACGGATCTTCCAAGGGGTTCATCCACCCCTCCGACACTCTGTTTGGGCCTCCAGAGGTCTTGCCTGGGACCTTGCCTGCCAAAGTGGAACTTCTGAGGGGCAGATCTGCCTCTCAGAAGCTCTGTTTGGGGGTCCAGAGGCCTCCCCTGGCCTGTTACAAGTCGAAAGGGAGCCTCTGTGGGCCAGATCTGGCCCTCTGAGGCGCCATTCAGCCCTCTGCAGGCCTCCCCATACTTACTGTACTTACTTTTCAAAGAGCTCCAGAAGAGGCTGGTCCATATGGCAGAAAAGCCAAAGTGTTTTATTCAGAAGCCTGTGAAGTTGTAAAAACATGAGATGTAAGGAAAACAGTTTCATCCCACCTGAATAAAAGACTGGCTTCTCTGGCATGAGGGCCTGCAGGCTTAGTTTGGGCCCAGTCTGGCCAGCATCCAGCAGCCTCTTGCTTGCTGCTGACTGGCTAGTTTGAATGAGCAGCTTCAGGGATTGGGTTGTGGTAGCCAATCAACGGGCTTGCAGTTCAGCCCGATGAGACAAAGGAAGCCAGGTCCTTGTTGATTGGCTGCTGCCTCAGTCCCTGAAGCAAGAGGCTTTTCTACTACCAGAGATCTGCTGACCACATGGCCCCCAGCTGAAGTCTTTTACTCAGAAGCTGGCAAAAATGGTTTCCTTAGATTTCACATTCTTACAGTTTCGCCATCATCTGAATAAAACACCTTGGCTTCTCTGCCAGTGGGTCAGCCTGTTCTTGAGCTCTGGAGCTCTTCAAAAAGTAAGTAATCCATGGGAAATGGGGTGGGGAGGAGTAAGTGGAATCCAGGGCGCTAGCAAAGCAGGCCCAGTCTGTGGAGACCCGGCAGGGCAGGATGGTGGGGAAACAATTATGTGGACCCCAGAGGTGCATGAGGTATCTCAGTGGATTGGGGGAGGCCTTGGATGGCCTGCTGCAGCTGTCACGTTCTGAGTATCCAGCACCAAGAAAACCACAAGTAAGATAGTTTGGTTTGAAGCGTTTTATCCTGGAAAGCGTAAAAACCCAGCATGGAGTAACAAACAAACAAAGTCAGTGCTAACTGCGTTTGTCCCCTATGCGCGTGCCTACCCCACCCCCACAGCTACCACCCACCGCTAATAGTCCAGAATCATTGGTCGCGTCTAATCCAACACTCAGCTGCTGGCCTGCTCCCAGAGTTCCAGCTGATCGGCACTTCGCTTCTCCACCAACCAGCCCCGACACACAGTTGTTTCCTCTGGCCGCATCTCAGATGCTGGCCTGCTTTCTGAGGTCTAGCTGATTGGCGCTTCGCTCAGCTGCTTCCTGATGAGCAGAGCAGCGGCACGGCCTCCACCCGGTACTCTGTCAGCCAATCTCCCCACCACGTCCCAGCTGATTATCAGCTGCTCCTTCTGCTGCCGCTCAGCTGATAGGCTGTGGTGAGTTCAGTCACACCCCTGCAGCCTCCTCTCACCGGTGGCTTGCCATTTTGAAGGTTGACACCAGCGCTAGGCCCCGCATGTTCCTCCCCACTCTGAGATACCTCAAGTGCATTTAACGACCTGCGCATTCAATTAACAATTGCATTAGGGAAAGCAGGGAGTGATCACATTCATTTAACGTGTTTCAATCAAACGAATCCTCGGGTTATGAATGTCATTGGCAGGCTCTATAACGTTAGTAACTCAAGGATTACCTGTACACTTTCCGTAATGAGAGTGAAGTCTGTATTTTCTACTGATGTTTTTTAAATGCTTTGCCATGTACAGTAAACACATTCTGCTGAGCTCATTGAAAGAGGAACCTCTTATTACTTTATTTTCAGTTTAACTGCTACCATTCCCAAATACCATAGCAATCTGAAGCTAATCCTTTCTAAATTATTTCAAAGAAGCACTTAGAGATTAGGCAAATGAATGTTGTTGTCATTTAAACAAAATGTTTGCATTTCTGTATCAAGTATAGGCATTTCAATTATATAGTTGCAGTCCACTGGGTTTCTAATTTGCAGAAAGTTTCAAGTTAGTTTCTAATAGCTGACTTAAAGGTTGCATGGAGAAGCAAGAGGTAGTAATCTTTCTTTAAGCTATCAAAAAACAACAACACTGCGACAATCCTGTTTTACTTTTTTAATTAAGTGCCAATTCAGTTGTATCACTATAGCATGTGATGTTGGGGGGGAAAGACACCCATCTTTATTACTGTTGCACTTTTCAGTATTTGCACTGGATTTTTAGATAGTTGTTATGCAATAAGCAGTGTGTCCTGCCACGTTTAGAACACATCTAGGCAACCAGTCTAGTGTGCTGTCCTTCAGTCCATGAAACATTATTAAATATATCCGCATAATTTTGTAATTTGCTTTGTCTTCAGAGCTGGTTTCTATTCTAGCTCTAATGAGGAAGTTAGTGGTAATGTCGTGACAGATTAAGATGTAGTGATTGCTGGATTTCCATGACAGTGGAAAAACACCTTCCAATTGCTCATGGACTGGGGTTACAGCTGGGGAGGACACAGTTTCTGATAAGATACCTAAAGCAGTGGGTTCAGCCATGTGTCAGGACCTTTAACTATAAGTAATGTTCTTGCAATTTTGATGCAACCTGCCTGTCAAACCTGTATAAAAAAAGTGCACCAGGTAGGTCGCTTTAGAGAGCTACTGTATAGCCATGGTACAGCTTTCTCAGGAGACCTTTATTCATTTGTCATATCTGTGAAGCAACAAATGCCCTCTCCACTCTCCATAGGGTTTCAGGCAGCAGGTTTAGTCTAGTAGTACAAGGCACTAAGCTAAAACCTGGAGACTGTGAGTTCTAGTTCGCTTTAGGCCTGGTTGATTTGGCCCAGCCACTCTCTCTCAGCCCAACTCACCTCACAGGTTGTTGTGAGGAAAATAGGAGGAGGAAGGAGTATTAGATATGTTCACCAGCTTGAATTGTTTATAAAGGTAATAAAGGCATACATAGAGAGAGAGCGCGCCAAGCATATATTTATACAGAAAAAGAAGGGGTTATTTCCGTGCACATCAACCAGCATTTGGCAAATAGGTTCACCACAAGATACAGCAATATTAGAAGAAACAATAGTCCAGTGTCTTTCTGAGGCAGCCTTTCTCTCAAGCCTCTGGCAATGGGTTTGGGAATAAGAGGAAGATTGCAACATTTAAACATGTTTTTAAAAGAATGGTTACTGAGTTATTTTCAGACTTAAATAAAAAATATATATATTTGTTCCTTTTGATCTTGTGTTCATTAATTCATAAAGCTTGCAAATGAGACTTCTGTTGTTGCAACCCTCTCATAATTGGGGCTGAACAATGTAGTCATACAGACTGCCCATGCGATTAAGACTGCTAAGTTTGTGATAAAGGTATCTTAATTATTTTTAAAGTCCCATAACAATTTAAATGTGACATATTTATTATGACAAATATTTTTGGAACACGCTGCAATTCATCAAGTTAAACAGGTCTGTGTTTTATTTTTGGAACACGCTGCAATTCATCAAGTTAAACAGGTCTGTGTTTTATATGTGTTAAGATAATATAACACAATATTATAATGAGCATTTTTTCTTGACTTCTTGTTCTGTATTTTATGTTTATATTATTTGTTGGACATTTTGGGGGGTTTCATGCACATCTAATTGGATTCTATTTTCAATTGATCTGAGATTTTGAAAAGAGATGTTGAAAAGTTGTTTTATTTGCTTATTTCCCAGCCTTTGCAGTCTCTCTCTTTAGCAGATTCTAAATTGAAAACAGAGATTACTATCATTATCAATGCATTGGGCAGCAATACATCCCTTACAAAAATTGATATTAGTGGAAATGCTATGGGCGACATGGGTGCAAAGATGCTTGCAAAAGCTCTTCAGATAAACACCAAACTCAGGTATTGAATATCTATATTACCATAATTATCATCATTACCACTCAATATATAAATCCTACTTTTCTGCTTACATAGAGTCCTAAAGCTTTCACAGCAATAAAATAACTCATAAAACAGCAATGAAATCAATATAATTGCTTTTTTAACATGTAGCACTTTAACTTCTAGTTAATTCATATTCCAAGAATCCAGATTCTTGTCAAAACCCTGTGCTTGTTTTCTAATTGCTAGTTGAAACAGTGCACAGGATACTCCAGTTTGGGAAACATAAATTGTGATTTAGTACTTAGCTACTCCTTTTGGTTTCCATTCCCCCTTCCATTCGAAAGATCTACCCTGGATTGTTTTTGCAATCATGGTCTAGTAATTTTATTTGGATTGTAGGAGGAGAAAAATCCCTTAGTTAAGGTAAATTTGAATAGACCAACATAGAAAAGTTTAAAACCCTGGCCATTGTTTACTCCTTTGTTTTCCTATATATAAGAAAACTATGAATTGGGGAATTATTTGTGCCTACCCCTATAGCAACTAATTTAATTTTGGACGCCATTACCAATAATCATTTGAGCAGGTTTAGGTTTGGGGAATGAATGAGTAAAGGACTGCTTTCTCCTGTTTGTGTGATCTCAGTATAGTATTTATCATGAGAAAAGACAGAGTCCTCTGATCAAATGAAGCCATCAAGTATCTTCTAAGTTCAGGAGCTTTTTGAACTCTATGGCAAGCTTTTCCTATTGAACCACACCACGATCAAATTCTGCTTAATTTTAAGCCAGCAATTTGTTTTGGCATCTCTTTGGTTTGCAGAGATATTTATAATGATAATGATCCGGGTTGGTTTTTATTGTTTTGGGGTTTTTTGTTGCCTTTTTATTTTAACTCAATGTTATACTTTCATTACAAAAGCATTATTTTACTTTTTATTGCAATATTTCTCCCAACTCAGACGTTGAAAGTACTTGTGTAACGTTAATGCATGTACAGTTGATTGTTTTCAACATTTTCATCAGTCAATCCATAATTTCTATTTTCATACAGAACTGTTATATGGGACAAAAACAATATCACTGCTCAGGGATTCCAGGATATAGCTGTGGCACTGGAAAAGTAAGTTCTGTGTGACTCTCTGTTAGAATTCCCTCAAATGTTGATAGTTTTGAACCCATCGTAATTCATGTTAGGAAATTGCCACCAAGAAGACCTTTTGCTGTCTTCTTCCTCCTGCTGCTTACCAGGTACATCCAGCCTGGCCCTACACAAGGCCTTCTTCCTGAGGCCACATGTGCCCTTTTCCAAATGGTGAACAGTCAGATAACAAGTAATCAGAGTTGGAAGGGATCTTGTAGGTCATCTAGTCCAACCCCCCACCCAAGCAGGAGACCCTACACCATTTCTGACAAATGGCAGTCCAAAGTCTTCTTGAAAGTCTCAAGTGATGGAGCTCCCACATCTTCTGAAGGCAAGCGGTTCCATTGGTTGATTGTTCTCACTGTCAGAAAGTTTCTCCTTATTTCCAAGTTAAATCTCTCCTTGTTCAGTTTCCATCCATTATTCCTTGTCTGGCCTACAAGTGCTTTAGAAAATAGCTTGACCCACTCCTCTCTGTGGCAGCCGCTCAAATATTGGAAGACTATCATGTCTCCCCTGGTCCTTCTCTTCACTAGACTAGCCATGCCCAGTTCCTGTAACCGTTCTTCATATGTTTTAGTCTCCAGTCCCCTAATCACCCTGGTTGCTCTTCTCTGTACTTTTTCTAGAGTCTCAACATCTTTTTTATAATGTGGTGACCAAAACTGGATGCAGTACTCTAGGTGTGGTCTTACTAAGGCTTTATAGAGTGGTGTTAGTACCTCACTTGATCTCGATTGTATTCGTCTGTTAATGCAACTTAGGATTGCATTAGCTTTTTTGGCGGCGGCTGCACACTGCTGGCTCCTATTTAGCTGGTTGTCCACTAAGACTCCAAGATCCCTCTCACAGTTACTGCTATTGAGCCTGGTTTCACCAGTTTCATATCAGTCTTCTGATATGCACCTGAAGGCTTCTTGATACCTTCCAGAATCTCACAAGAAGGTCACACGCTATTTGAAGAAGCGTGTGTGCAGCCTCAGAAAAAGGGCCTGACATAACCAACAGCTGCCTCACATCAGACCAGACTCACCAGCAGTAGGAGGAAGAAGACAGTGAAGGTTGGCTGGGACAGCAGAGTTGGCAGAACATAAGGCGGCTTGGACTATGTTGTTTGGGTAACCAGCCTCTGCTTCAGCCAAGTGCCACCATTACCTAGGAGTGCCACAGTGCAGGATGGCCAAAAGGATAGAGATGAGGGAGGGATAGGCGAGCAGGAGGGAGTTCAGGAGTGTGCAGTCCCTTGCCTTGCCTAGGCTCAAGGAATCCAGGAGCAGCTTGGATCAAATGGGCCTTGCCTAATGACCAGTGAGATTCACTCAGCAACAGCAGTGGTGACTAACAGGATTACTGTCATTTAGTGATGCGGTCATGTGACATCATGTGTACAACCGCATTGCTTAGCAAGAAATATTCTGGTTCCAATTACTGTTATTAAAAATGTTACTTATTGATGCAGAACTACATGTATCAATAAATAACATTCTTAATCCTGAAGTAAATTTGCCAACCTATCACTCTTGTGAAATTAAAATTAAAACCTAGTCCCAGTTTATTTATCAAAGCATTTAATCTACAGAGGACAATGGCCGACTGGGGGGGGGGGGGAATCACTTTACAGTCTGACAACATACATTTTGTTGAGAGAAAAAGCTCATTAGTATCGTGTTTCAAATCTTGATCTTTTCCTTTGACCTGCTAAGATAAATGAAAAAGGAACTGAGAATGAATGACAGAAAGCGGAAATGTTGGTAGCTATGATTTTATGAAGATGACAGCTCTAGTCATAGCCCGTATTGCTCGCTTCTAGCACCAGAGTTGCTGGAACTCATTTGTTTTATTAAAGTGCTGAACTGAGAAACTGTTGCCCAGTGTCGATTTACATGGCTGCCTTTCATACAATATAATTAAAACATATTCTTTAACATATATCCCAGCAAAATTACGTACATTGCTCATTATTCTGTTCTTAAAATAAGAAACATTATCTGTAGAAATAACCTAACCCATTCCTAACAACAAATAAGAAACATAACCATTTCATTTGTAATATCAAAATCACTGATATTGGGTTTTTAAAACTGTATTGTTCTTATAAACATCTGCACAATAGTGTAAAGAAAACAGAGAGTGTTGCCATCTCATGCTAGTTACTTTATTCAATAAAATATGATCTATTGATCGTTATATTGCCAGAGCAAAATGCATCAAATAGATACTGAGAAATACACTTGAGTGCTATGATGGAAATGTTCAAAAGGCACTTTCCAAGAGTGTATTGATTGGGCAGCTACTCCTTCAGTAGCTTATATTAAGTGTTATTTAAACAAGAGTGCATTTTCAAGTTAGGGCCGCAAAAAAAATCAACTAATCTAAACAAGTTTAATATAAACCTTTGGATTTTTAAAATGGGAGAATCACATTTTTAAAAATCCTCCATTTTTAAATATTTTTCAGAAATTTCACTTTCAGTTTATATTTGTATTAAAAGCCTAATGGCTACAATTATATTTATTTTTTCTCAGGTTAAATAGTCTAGTGGTAAAGCTGTAGCATATTTCAGTAGTACTACAGCAAGAACCAGTACTGAATTTGGACTGAGAAGATTCAAGTTCTGGTCCCAAGTCAATCATGGACCCACTGGATGACCTCAGGCCATTACCTCTCAAGCCAATCTCTCTCTCAGAACTGTAATTGTGAAGCTAAATTTAGGGGAGATTCTTGCCTGAAAGACAAAGGAAAGATTGTAAAGATATCTAAATGGAGCATTAATTTATGAGCTTACAACATTTCATTGTAACATTGATTCAGTTATATTTTAATATGACAGAAGATAAAACACCAGCTGATTATCATGTGCATACATATACAGCAGGAGGATAAGAATACATACAAGAGCATGCTAAGTAATTATTCTTTTGTGCTTCTAATCTTTTTGTTTACATTTTTTAAAAGGAATTATACCTTAAGATTCATGCCTATACCTGTGAATGATGCTTCACAAGCACTTAAAACAAACACTGAGAAAACAGAGGAAGCCCTTCAAAAGGTATTTCCTACATTTATTGATATATGTCAAGCGCCGGGAAATCAGGAGATTCAGGCAGTTCAAATGAGTACAAATATTTATTGCAAACTTAAGCTCTCTACAAGAATCTGACCAACTAACAGTCAAGGGAAATGAGCAAAGATTGAAAAAAAAAGGCCTTCAAGGTTGGTTGGGTTTCAGTCTCTTGCAGGCATGCAGGGTCTCATGATGTATGATGTGTTTGACCCCTCCCTCGGGCTCAGCCTGATCATCTCCTACATATAAATTGAAGTGGATAAATGAAAACAATGTTGGGTTTTCATGGTTGAAAGCATGAAGCAAATTCTCCAATTGTCTTGCTAAAGCCCACACTCACACTCAGGAGCAGATAATGAAAAATTACCATGACATGGAGATGTGTTTCTTTTAAATTAGGCATGGAAGGTGAAAATAGAAGTAGTGACAAAATTATAAACACTTGCCTTTAGCATTAAAATATTTATGTGCTGAGATCAATAAAAAGGGGTTATTTGGAGTTGCTTAGAATATGAGATACAACTTCTGTATGAGAAACAGTATGACAGTAAACTGTACACTGAGATTTTTTGCTTTGATCTTGCTAAGTTCCTCAGAAGATTCTAGTATTAAGCAGATCACTGTGTATTCTTTCTAGAAAACAGTACCTTTTTTGCTGATAGCATTAAGTTTTGATAATTAATCTGAAAGTGTTATATATTATCAGTTGCATTGATTTCAGTTAAGATTATAAGATTCTCATAATATACCAAGACTTGAGTTTCAGTCCTTGAAGAAAAACTAAGGCTGTAGTCCAACACTGATGACCTTGAAATCAGGATCACTGAATTCAGCGGTATCCACTATCGATTATGCAAGCATATGATTTTATGGCTAAGCACTGTTTCTATGTTAACATGTTTTTTCTCACTTAATTTTTAAAATCCAGGCTTGTATCTGATTTTAATTTCTGCTCTTAGATAGAAAATTATTTGCTTCGAAATCACGAGACCAGAAAATATCTACAAGAACAAGTGTACAGACTACAGCAGGGCATAGTTACTAGCACAACACAGCAGGTACCATTTACTCCTTTATGATTAATAACATTTTCAGTGGTTGGATTCAGAGGTGCCCTTCCATTCACAGGAAAGGTTTGCATTTTGAAAAGGCATCCCATAAATAGCATAGGATAAAGGCAATTTTTATAGATTTCCCCAGGTAGCCTTCTCTGCTACTTCCCTGCACTGCCAGAAGACCCTCAACTCTATGGAAATGGGAGGAATCATGAGGGAATCATGTTATATATTTCAAGAAACAGGCTCTGTAATGTTTCTCAGTAATGAATAACAAGAAGTAGTAGAAAGAAATCAGAACCTCAGAAATATGTGAACATATATTCTTTGGTTATATATTTGAATGTGCAATCTACCAAGGCTATCTAAGATTTATTCATTGTTATTTTATCTGTTACCTTTATCTCCTTTTTCTAAGTGTGAAAGTATCTCTTTTCTTGTGTAGATGATAGACAGAATATGTGTCAAAGTACAAGATCATCTCAACTCCTTAAAAAATTGTGGAATTGACACAATACAAGAGGATCTGAAATCAGCTGAAAGACTTATGAAGGATGCTAAGAATTCCAAAACAGTAAGAGATTGCAGATATTTATGCTAGGGTTCCAAAGCCATTAGAACAAATAATACTATTAAAACTTCTACCTCTAAAGTTTTCAGAATTTAAAAAAATACATTAAATCTATCCTTGTTCTGTTAAATCATGGTAGGTGTTAACAGTAGCTCTTTTATATGTATTTTTACAGTTATTACCAAACCTGTATCATCTTGGTGGAGCTTCATGGGCAGGAGCAAATGGTTCATTATCCAGTCCAATTCAGGAAATCCTAGAATCTATGGCTGGGGAAGTTACAAGGGTTGTTGATGATCAGCTCAAGGTATTAATGACTAAAAATGTTATCCTAAAATGAAATGTGGGAAGCATTCTAAAGAGGAAAGGAACCAACTTAGTTTCCTTTACCTGTCGTGGGTAACCTGTAGGCTAAATACAGATCATCATAACCTACTCTGCTGCTCCAAGATCAGTCTCAGATTATACCACAGAAATTTGGCAGCACAATTTATTTATGTTTTTTTTTTAAAAAAAACTAAAGAGAACAAAATGTCTTAAGATTCTGGTAGGTTTAAGGCACCATTTTTTTCTTCTTTAACCCTAATCTCCCACTCAACAAAAATGTTTTTTCCCTTGAAAACATGGTTTAACCTTTTGGCTTACCTGGAACCTGTTGAGTGAAGAGGAATTGTCTTGCATATAAAATATATACTATAGTTAATTTATATAAATTGTGTAAAACAAATAGTTCTCGACTTACAACCATTCATTTAGTAACCATTTGAGGCTACAATGACACTGAAAAAAATGACTTATGACTGTCTTTTACACTTGCAGCATCCAGGGGTGGGATTCTACTGCTTCTGACCAGTTCTATAGAATCCCTTAACTTTCTAAGCAGTTCGGAGAACTGGTAGTTAGAAGAAATCTCCTTTTGTTTTTTTCCACCCTTATTACATTCTTGGCAAACAGCCTAGACTTACTGTCTGTGAAGGAGGGTTGTTTTTTTCTTAAAGGGGAAGGGTTGTTTAAAGCTTTTTACACAGCTGTTGGGAGGAGATACTCCCCTGGAAATACTTCTTGGCTAGCTAGAAAGATTGACATTCAAACATGAGTTTACATATCCTTTCTGAGTTTTGGTCTAAAACTGGTTTTTGGTTAAATTTAATTCTGTGCTTGATGTCGTTTAATCCTGTGTTTATTGATGGGATAATTTTCCCTATTCAGATTTGTTTGGAAGGGAAAAAGATTAATCTCTGTTCCTTAAAAGAAACTGGTTTGAGAAATCTGCTAGTTCCTATGTCTATTTGTTCTGGTAATTGGTTTAACAAGCAACAGCTACTGTTGCGATTTAATTATTTGTATTGTGTTTGAATTTTTTCCTGCCTCATGGTTTCTTTTTCTGTCTGGGGAGGGGGGTCTTCCTTCACTGCTGTAGTGGTATCTGGCACTGTCCTTTTGGGGTGTACTTCGAAGAGGCAGGATGCAAGCTTGGCACTGATTTTTTTTACTGCCTTTTTGGGGGGCATGTGACCTTTCCTTAAATCTGGATGATTTCCTTAGGATATCTTGTGAGATGAGTGAAACCAGCTGATACCTTTAAGCGGGGCAAATAGATCTAAGGATTGCTTCTCCTGGGTGTGCTCTTTCTGGAGAGCTTAAATGACCTCTGCTAAAGGGTTTCACTTTATGAGCAAGAGTTGGCTGCTGATAGTTATCATTGCATTTTAACTATTTTAATTCCTCAAGGTGCTCTGGCACCCTGCCTGATTTGTAACTCTGGCTTGCAGGTATTTTTAATCTAATGATTGGTATTTAGAGCAGCTTTTTGCAAGCAAAGAAGCTTTTTGTATTTTTTGTACAGGTAATCCTAGATTTACAACAATTCTTTTAGTAACCATTCAGAGTTACAGTGGCACTGAAAAAAGTGACTTATGACCATTTTTCACACTTATGACCATTGCAGCATCCCCACTGTTATGAGAGGCCAGGCGAAGGAAAAGCGCCCCTTGACGTGAGTGATGTCGAGTTGGCCACGCCCATCTAGTCATATGACCACCAAGCCACACCCACCAACTAAGCCACGCCCACAGAACCGGTTGTTTAAAAAATTTGAATCCCATCCCTGGCGGTATCCTCATGGTTACATGCCCAAAATTCAAACACTTGGTAACTGACTCATACAACAGTTGCAGTGTGTCAAGGTCATGTGATAACCTTTTGTGACCTTAAGTATAAACTTAGTACTAAAGGATATTATTGAATTTTCTTAACAGTCTTTATAATGTGTTTTGTAATTTTGAATTTAAAACACAGTGCACATGGTGTTATGAATGACATGTTTCTGTGGTTTCTATAAGTTTGTTTCCCATTACTTTCTGCTGCAGACACTGCTTGAGTCAATGGTAGATGCAGCTGAAAACCTGTGTCCAAGTGCCATGAAGAAGGCGCGTATAAGGCAAGACTTGATTGAGGCATGTACTGAAAAAATTTCAATTCCTCGGACCTTTGTTAAAAATGTTCTTTTGGAGCAGTCTGGAGTTGATATCCTTAATAAAATCAGGTGAGCCAACAACTTTCTAGATTCATCTATGGACTGAGTGTATAACTTAATTTATTTAAAAAATTACCTTAATATAACAATCCTAAACTTTAAAAACGGTTCCCATCTACTTTCAGGCAAGAAAAAGCTTTCCCCTCCCCCTGGCTTCAGCTTTTAATTATATTTTTGAATTATGATTTTTTAAAAATGAAAATACTGAAGGTCATGAGAGTTGCAATAGTGACATGATGATAGCACAAGAAATGAGCAATATATATATATATATTTACTACTCACTAAGAGTCAAACTGGATTCACGAGGGTGTAATTATAAACACTTGTTCCAATTATGAACAAGAGGCGGTTATAATTAATTCTGGGTAAATCGCATGTATTTGTACCATGTGCTCATATGTGGCATTTTGTTCATTTAAATAATACTACTGAAACTAATAATAACTATCTCCCTCCCCCCACCCTTCCCCAAATTTAATAGTCTTGGAATCTCACCAAGAAAATGAAGTACTTAAGCTATTGATGTAAATGCAAGTAATTCAGTTTAGGTTGTTTGTTCATTATTTAGTAAATGAGTGATAATAATGAAGCAGTAAAACATTTTCCTGTACAAATAAATGACTATGAAAAAGAGGAATGAAATACATTTAGGATTTAATCCTTACTATATTTAGATTTTGTAAGCTGCCTGGCTTCTGTTATAGTTGGCAGCTATAATAAGTTTAATGTAATAAACACACTAGATTTATTACAATGATTATAGCATATGTTGTATCATGTGCTATATCTTACATTCATTGATCACCCTTGTGTTTTAAACCTTAACATCATTTGATGAGAGTTAATGCAACATTCTTTTTCTCTTCTCTAAGCTTGATAATTATTTTTGAAATCTTTATGTGTTATTTGAATATTCATGTGTATTTTTAGACAACCAAGGATATCTAGCTAATACATACATAATATAACCTGTAATATAAATTTTATACTGTAAATTCATATTTTGTATTCTTATTTTTCATTTTTGCATAGTGAAGTCAAGCTGACAGTTGCTTCGTTTCTCTCAGATAGAATAGTAGATGAAATCCTTGATGCTCTGTCTCATTGTCATCATAAACTGGTATACATTTATACAATCTCGTTTCTTTAAGTTGATTTTATAGTTCAGTATGATTTGTTTGCTTCAGTGCATTTATTTGCCCTATTCAAGAAGAATGCCTATATAGATCTATCTGTATCTTTCTATTTACACTGAATGAGGTGGATATACTGAATGTGATAACATAGGAAGATGAATCCTCTGAAAAATTAGTTTATTTTGATGTCAAACTGAATGTTACTTTAATATTTCCTGAAAAATTTACTAGGTTACTGGTCAAAGCTAAACATGGTCAAGTTTACATGTTGGATTTCAGGAAAACTGATATTAATAAAAAATGCAAAACTGCTAACATAGAAGGCAAGTTAAGAGCAAATTTGGAGTAGTTAATCTCATTAAAGCATAAATAAATAAAATGCACGAGAGACAATGTAATTTTAATGCATTAATGAAAAAGAACTCAGAATCCTAATAGAATTGTAAGCAATGCAAGAATTAACCGTTGCAGTATATATAAAAATATGTTAGTGTAACTTTAGGCTGCATTACTAGAAGAAGGGTTTCTAAATGCTAGGGAGTAATAGTTTTATACTTGTCATTTGGATTACGTACTTTAGAAAATATGACTATATATCCAACATCCAGGTAATAAGGAGAAGATCAGTTGTTCAAAAAATATTATGAAGAAGTTGATGAATTACAAAAAAAAGTTTTGAGTTAAGGATATAAGCATTTTTTAGGATATAAGCATATACCTGAACATTTGTAACATGGAACAGTTTTAAACTTGTTTTCAGAAAGCTGAGAAGATAGGATTGGATCTAATGGGCTTAAGTTACATGAGTCCTGGGTTCAAATGGGAGAAACTTCTTGTAAGAACAATATGACATTATGGTTTATGGCAATTGCTGTGCTTTGCTAGAGGCCATTGAAATTGAACAAATAACTGCTTTGCAAATAACTCTATAATTCTGAATTCCAAAGCACCCAACAAGGTGTGGGATTAATGGTCTTCAAGTCCATCTCATTTTTGTAGCAGGTTAATTGTACATCTAATTTGGCTTGTATTCATTGGAAACTTATTTAGAAATGTTTATTATCAATATTTCTATTTTATAAAGAATGCTTGCGCTATAACCTTTCCTCTAGGCTGATCATTTGACCAGGCGAGGTAAACCCTTGCCTCACCAGGAATCATTGGACATTGAGTTAGCAGAGGATAAATCTACTAAACGATCTATCATTACAGTTGAGGAGCTAACTGAACTGGAACACTTTGAAGACCTAGATACATGTATGGTAAGACATCTGTAATCTTTGACTAAATCTTTTAAACTTTCTAGCTCATTCAGACACCCACTTAAATTCATCATTGAAATATACAATAGCCATTATAAAAACAGATATAGATCAATAAATTATAACATTTTTTCATATTTACTTTCCTAAATGTTTATGATGCTTTTTATTTGGTACCATCTATTATATGTCTGAATGTTGACATATTAGTATTGATTGCCTCCATAAATCAGCCCATATTGTTTCCGGTACATGCTGATTTTACTGGACCTATGTCTCTTTGTATGCTTATAAAAGTTATCACCCAAATATTAGTAATTTGTTACTAAAAATTCTTATAAATCCTAACTTTGATTATGTTTTAATTCAGGCATACTGTATGTTCTTGCTCATAATACTAAATGAATTAAACTTTATGGATATTTCATCCTTGGCAGTAGTTCACAATAAGGAAATGAACCTTAGATTTTGGAGCTCATTAGGGAACTTCCCCAAAATTAATATTAAAAATAATTTTAATGCAATCAGGAGTGTTCATAAATGTATGAGAAGAATAATGGTAAAGGTTCCCCTGCACATATGTGCTAGTCATTCCCAACTGTAGGGGGCGGTGATCATCTCCATTTCAAAGCCCAAGAGCCAGCGCTGTCCAAACACATCTCCGTGGTCATGTGGGCAGCATGACTAAACACTGAAGACACACAGAATGCTGTTACCTTCCCACCAAAGATGGTCCCTATTTTTCTACTTGCATTTTTACATGCTTTCGAACTGCTAGGTTGGCAGAAGCTGGAACAAGTAACGGGAGTTCACTCTGTTACGCGGCGCTAGGGATTCAAACCACCGATTTTCTGATTGACAAGCTCAGCATCTTAGCCACTGAGCCACCCGTCCCTATATGAGAAGAATAGAGTTGTATTGATTATATTTATATTAAAATTAAATATAAATTAAATTAAATTTATCTTTACTTGGTCCTGCCTTTTTTTTTATCCTGGCTTCACCCACTTCTTGGAATGAATAACAATCAAATGAGGGCTTCAGCTCTTCATATGTTCCTACAGATATCTGCATATTTTATAGAAACCTATCATAAAACTATTAGCTATTAAGGTGCCGTGAAGTTCATTTACAGTTTTGTGCAATAAATATTGCAAACTGATTAAGATTTTATCAGTATAAAACAGAACTAAAATAAAATAATCAAAAGAAGTAATTATGTAAATAGTATATATTCTGTGTACTATGCTGCTGATGGGTTTTGTTATCTATTTCTAATTTTTCTGTAAACAAAGGTACATCATTGTTGTTCTTTATGGCTGCTATATTCATAAATTAGAAGTGTATGTGTACACTAGTATATTAGATTTTCCACAAAAGAATTAAGTACCTTATAAAAAATCCAGAACATAGGAAATGCTCCAGCAACCTGACTAAATGTGATTTATTTTCTTCCTTCCTTCCTTCCTTCCTTCCTTCCTTCCTTCCTTCCTTCCTT